AATGGACTCCCTCGGACCCCTCTTTTCCCCTCGAAGTTTGCGAGTCATTGGTACTTTCACCAGAAACATCTTTTTTGGCAGTAGCTTCGTGCTGACTGAGTAAGCTGCCCCTCACCTTTTAATCGAATCAAAGTTAACGCAATATTGTATTTATACCAGTGATCATCTTGACGACATCTTAGCGTTAGGAAGTCTTATTTGCCGAAACTTGATACAATTCATTTTCACCTTCGAAGACGTCACTTACGGCGTGCAACAGGATGCACGGTGTCTTAACGAACAAAGCTATTGTGCGGTCGGCAAAGGCTGGCCCTAACTTGACGAAATCCCCCTTCCAGGTACATCTGTACTTACTGGCGATGGCCTACGGCTCTGCGCAGTTTGTTTGAGAAGTGCTCCGGTCTGACTTTGGTAGAGCTCACGGGGACTTCTCTTGGTAGTTGGCGAGGTCTCACTGGGAAGGCACTTGACCTAGCTGAGAACCCGCACTGGGCTCCTAATCTGAGGAACTTGTTCCTCGGCGAAATGGAGGGCTACGAGATGTTTATGAAGGTGATGCGTTCGTTGACGAAAGTAAGCACGTTATTGACAGTTGCTTTACTCCAACGGTATGAAGTTAAGAAGTGGGGTGACTTGGAGCTGGAGGAGACCGAAACACGATATAGAAAGGGGCGCGTACAATCGATGTGGTAGAGAGTAGTCTGAAGGGGCTACAGAAGCGCGCCAGGTTACTGGACCCGCCCTCGAAGTATCCGCTGGCTATCACGCGTCACTACGTCGAATGATATGAAAGAGTAATTATGCCTTTAGTTTAAGAATACACCGCCTAGCTAGCTCGAAGACCATACTCGTCGGGATTCTTGAAATTAGAATTCTCCAAGTAGATCTGGTCTCGCGCAGCAAAAAGCAAGCACCCATGAAGTGAAGTAGGCAAGGAAGCACGCCACGGAGGTGGACGTACTGTGCGACCGACCCAAGCAGCGACAAAGTGGACACGTGGCCTCTATGCTGGCTTCCAAGGTTCCGAGGAGCTTCTATGGCCAGAACATTATTTCCGAAACCAAACCGCCATGAACATGCGAAGATTCTCCCCGAGAACACAACGCTTCTAGAATAAAAATTCTTAAACTTGAATTAAAGGCACGCATGTTTTGATAGTGTAGACTCTTGACATTCGCGCCAGAGAGATCCAGGAACGCTTGTGAGATTGCCACGACTTCAGCAGGTCCAAAATCGGCGGAGAGCCGCCGCACTTACCCAAATTTGGGAAATTTTTCATTTTAACAGATCGAACACTAAAATTGGATTAGGCTGTAACATTTTTTCCAACGTAGCTCATGGGAAAAATGCCTGCACTGCGCGTTCCCACAGCTTAACGTGATACGCCGAAAGCGGGGACTCGCTACTCGCGCTCACATTGCTACTCGTGCCTACTGGGTGTCGACTACAGTACACACCCAGGGCTGTATTCGGTATTCAAGAGCCCTTGTCAATATTTCAATACGTATTGAGAATATTGTTCTGTTCATTATTGATATTTCAATATTAATATCGATGGATTCAATATTGAAGAGTATTGAACGTATTGAGCATATTGAGGACAGTTTAGCACGAATGCTGTCATGGCTGAGCGCCCGTAAAGGCATCATGTGCTGTCGTGTGTAATGAGTGTCTCACTGCGAATTTGTTGTGAACGGCTCTCTTGAGATCTCCTACATCTCCCTGTCTCCTTGTGAAGGTCGAAACAGATTCAATCCCAGCCTCCGACCGTGAATATAAGTGCGGGCCGCGCAGACACCAGCGCCTCCACAGGCCATCTCTCCGAACTCGCTTCCACTCCGCTACCCGGAAGCCCAGGGAGCAATTGCCCGACAGTAATGTCTTCAGTCAGCATCTCTTCTGGTCACGGTCTGAGCAAACGCACTCGGACGGCGACAGACTCGCGGGCTGATGCAAAGAAATTGAAGCTAGATGAACATGTCAGACGTGATCGAGCCGGCAATAGTCGTGCTGTTAATGCATGGTATGCATGGCTAGAGGGAATTATCGCCTAGAGGGGCTCGTAGCTAGCTGAATCATATGCCCATCGTGGCATAGTTAAGCAATGGAATTGTAGTATTATTTGTGCCCAGACTATTACATGTCAGCAGGCAGCGGCTTTACGGGAGCCCTGGCCATTCGGGCGAAAGTGCTTCGCTGTTCATCGACAGTTGCCGTTCCTTTTCACCAAAATTGCGTTCAATTGGCGCACAATGCTTTCAATATTTGCACCTTGTATTCAAGATTCAATACTCGATACTCAGTATACGTTTTCTCATTATTGATCTTCTTCAATACGAGGCTATATTGCGTCTTGACTATTGATTACAGTACTGACTACACCCAACGATCAAGCACGATCGTATTCGCACCCGCCAGCTGGAGTATTATTTGCTTTGACAAGCTCATGACGAAGTGGCGAATGTCGGGCGGATCAACGGGAAATCCCCGATGCAGTGGATCTGCCACTGTCATGTTTACGACACCTAGCATCAAAAAAGCTGAAGGAGGGTGACATCTGCGTGAAATCCAAATCAAGCGGGCCCTATAAAAGCAGATGCTGTCCAGCGGTCGCCAGCTATCCTTGTAGCCTGTTCACTACTCAGCGAAGCGGTGAAGTTACTCACTTCGTGACTTTGAACCAAGCGCTTCTCTTCAAAATGCCGGATTACAGTGATATCCTCACTGCTCATCAGCGAGAAGCTCTGGATCGGTTGATTTGTGGAGACATGCATGACCTTGACCCGTGCATTGGCGACGTGAGTTGTCAGATGCGCGTGCCCTTCATCCTCGACGCCTACTGGAAAGTTCATTCTCGACTGTGCGAGAGAGGGCTACTTGATTGCATCTATGAAGCAATTAAACAACCCAACGGCGACCAACAAGCGGCAAGACATGATGACGTTGGGATTGTGGAAGGCCAGCTTTCAGCCTTGAGAGCCTGGCAACAGTATGACGATACTGTCAGGGATATTCGTCAACTCCTCGGCGAAAACACCATCGAGCTGCTCGGGTTGTGCTATTCACTTACTTTATCCAACGCTCTCTCCTACGATGAATTTGGTACCTGCTTCTACTTTGTCTACTTGGGAAGCTTTGGGCCTCCGTCTCATCATCACGACAGCCACAGAAAGCTTGGTCCCGACAACCAGCTACCTATACTTCGTCAGAAGCTGGCAAGCGGCATCGTGGCGTATTTTCATGACGTCGTGGGGAGGCTTGTCGAGGCTAGTACACATACAACCCGCGAAATAAAGCAAGGGGACTTTGTAAACTACATTGAACGGCAACTGTATGAAGCAGTCCACCGGCTGTCATCCAGAATCGAACAGCAACATCCACATGCGGACAGCATTCCATTAGTTGCCTGTCAACCACAGATGAGAGTGGTTCTATTGCATGAGTTTGCTCGCAAGAGGCCAATGGTTGTGACTGTTCGCCGTCTCAAAATTGTCAATTGTTCCGTCAAGGGACTCACCTACACTCTCAGCGATACACGCTGCTTGTACTACACACCAAGCGAGGAAACAGGCGCTTTTGAGCTTGTCGACAGCGTTGATACAAAATTTCGCAACATTCCTTGCTTATCTTTTAATTGCTGGAGCACATATCTCGACTCGCAGCCGGGACGCGGTTTGGATTCGAGCAGTGACGCTGAGTACTTCCACGCTCTGGCTCAAAGCGACATTTCGTGGCTTATTATTGCTTATTCAAATGTGCATCCGCCGTTCGCAAGCAAGTCTGACGCCAATGGTGATGATCTGCGTTCTACGTACGCAAGTATTTGCGGAGCAGAGGTCAGAAGTTTTGACTACACCCGCGAGCGATGTCATGGATTTGACCTGCAAAGACAACGACTTGACGAAAAACGGCCAACGTTGTACGAGGAACTGGTCATGGCGGTTGACTTAGGACAGAGACATAACTTTGCGAA